CATAAAGCCAATCACACTAAGTACTGAATACGTCATATCTTTTGATTAATCGTTCACTACATTAATAACTATGAATATAAACTGTCAAAATGAGTAGTCTAAAAAGCGGCGGTTATCTGGTAATTAGTTCCAAATCACTGAGCCAAGTTCCGTCCAAAATTTCAAATAGGCCTACACGATGACAGACATAACACAGCAATTCGCTAATAATCAGTTAATTAAGTCGGTTAACAGATACGCGAAAACAAATTCATGACAGATTATCCACGTGTGTGTTTCTTGATTCATTCATATTTGTGTTATTTATCGTGGATGATTATCCACGTGTGTGTTTCTTGATTCATTCATATTTGAGTTATTTATCGTGGATGATTATCCACGTGTGTGTTTCTTGATTCATTCATATTTGTTGTTGTTTATCGTGGATGATTATCAACGTGTGTGTTTCTTGATTCATTCATTTTTGTGTTATTTATCGTGGATGATTATCCACGTGTGTGTTTCTTGATTCATTCATATTTGTTGTTGTTTAAAGATAATTGTTATTTTTCATTTGTATTAAGTTTGTATCGATAGACAATGATTCTGTATTGGTTCGTTTTCGTTTTATTCTATTCCAAGCATTATTCACTGAGATATATTCGTTAGAACTCGTTTCATGCTTGATCTCCATTTACAAAGAAACACAAATCAGTTTATGTAAGCCATTTATGTAATGGTCACAAATACGTTCTTATCAAAGCGAACGCAAGAGAAGTCGCAACTTTGTAGCGGATTAAGTCGCAATGAATACTTAATAGTGGCCTTCTCACATGGCAAACCAATCACTCCAATTTTAAAATCTAAGGTGTAAATCCAATTAACCCTATATGAAGGGTGTTTCAGTGCATGTTTGGTGTGGATTGTTCTCATTGTACATTAATGCCAGACTTCTCTACCGAAATAAACGTACTAATTTATATACGTATTACAATCTACCATAGTTTCTTACTTGTGTTACCATTACACAAACACAGTGCTCGCAGTTGCTGGACCTGATCGAATGTGCGCGATAGACAGCCACATTATTTTTAATTCAGTGACGAATTCGCTGTATGTTTTATTTGTTTTGTATGTAATATGTTTCCCCCAAGAAATAAAAAATAGATGTTATTGATCATATTGATCTTTGTGGGATTTTCCCATATTTTTTTTCATTTTTTTTCCCGAATTCTGCCATTGTCCCCAGAATTACTAGTGGACCACCCCTTAGGATTTTGACCCAATGCGATAAGAACAATTAAAATTACATTTGAAATCTGGGAGGGGGAGCTGTGGAAAATTGGTCAATTGAATATTTTCTTGAGCATGTCGGAACATTATTATGATGAGCGGTTTCCCCGAATCATATGTATTATTTCTTTTACTACTGAGCCCGTGGTGTTTTTTTTTTCAAGTTTTAGCTCACGTCATTTTTTTGCGATTTCAAATAGATTTTCTCTAACATAGTATAGTATAGTATAGTATAGTATAGTATGATACAGTATAGTATATTTTATTTGACACAAAATAATGCATGGAAAATACATCATCTATGGCCAATATACATTACTTTATAAGCAAACAAACAAATAACAAATAAACAAACACTGTAAAAATATAAAATAAATGTTAGAAAAAAATGTTAAATATTAAAAGTTTAATTTTTGTTTTCTGTTAAAATATCATTTATGAATTTTTCCAGGTTGTTGGTAATTAAGCAATCATTTGAACTTAAAATTCGTTTGAACATGTTTTGTTCTGATAATGTTAGTAGACTATCATTATACAATTACAAAGTATTAATAAATTGTGTACGACTAGTTATTAACCTTTGGTTCTTACAAACCAATAATGCATGTATTTCATCACCAATAGCCTCGTCTTCACACAAATTACAAATTCTTTCCCCTGGAGGCATGCCTTTGTATCTTAACCTTTCAATTGGCAGTGATTCAAAATTTGGTTATACTTGTTCTATGACTAATATTTTTCACAAGTTTTAGATATGGCTCAAATTCATATTTTGATTTAAATGTCTTGTAAATGCGTAATTCCTCAGCTCCTGAGAGCGAGGTTATTTGTAGATATGTTGGCGATCGCCACTGTGTCTGCGGAAGTACTATGGGAGATTGCATGATGGGAGTGAAAAATCTTTTGATCAGTAAAATAATTTTAGAAAAGTGAAAGCTAGAGTGACTGTGAAATAAAGGTTCGTTTTAAATATTAAATATCGTGAAATTTGGATGTAATAATGAAAGGATATTGAATTGGTATGAAAGGACAGTAAATGTAGCCAGAATGCAAGGTCAGTCTCCGGGGTCAAAATAGGTCACAATACATCCATCAAGGCGGTTGCAAAATGTCGACAACTATGGATGAGGTAAAAGACAGTTTGCGTGAAGGGCCGGGGAGAAAAATTCATGCAAATTCTGTGCTTCAGTGACAGTATTTGCTACTTTTTTGTGCAATGGAAATTAATACAAGAAATGCTGCCAAAAGACATGTCCTTCTAGTAAACAAAACAACATGGGGACGTTTATCTTGAGAAATTGAGAAGAAGAAAATCCCTCTGGACAGTCGTTGTGAAACAATAGACATGCTTCGCCAGGGTCAATCTGATTAAAATCTGATGTAATGTACGGGCTTTAATTATTTTGGCTATAAACTTATTTTAATATTATTTTTTATTATATTTGTTAGTAATCCCTTTAATCCCTAGATGTAGGTAGGGCGGAATTAAAAAAAATCACAAAATCAAAATTAAAGTAAAATAATGAAATAAAAGGGCATTAATAATGAT